CGATGAATTCATGAACGCGTCACGCGTTGTGTGACTCGGTGTTAAGTTACGGAAGGAACCGTTGAAAATTTGAACACGTTATAAGAAATAGTATGGGGAACGAAATATGGTCGATTTACAACGATAAATATTTCGAAATATGAATATTTTACACGTAAAATCAATAAAACTTACTCATGCCCTGTGTATCCGTCGTAGTTTCTGGCGATTTCTGCCGTTTTAAGCTTGCTTTACCATCACTGTTATTTACCATCACTGTTATCCAAGACGAAGTTCGTCTTTTGACATGGATAACAGTGATGGTAAAGCAAGCTTTTTTTTCTTTTTTGGGAAAGTGAAATGAAACGCTCTGCCACATTCATTCATGGAGTGTAAGGTTATTTCCTATTCGAGGCTCGGTTTCTCTTGCTATCAACAGAAAAAAAAAAAGACTAGAATAAAGTAAAGCAACGATCTTCAAAAGTAAGCTGCAGTTTAACCCTTAACACCCTAACATCAGTATAAATATTCTCCTTACCGTTTCCCATACATTTCCTAAGCTGCTAACAAGGAGATTTGTTTAACAATCAAGAGCTCCATTAGTTGGTGATCATTTCCTTTATTCTCGTGACCTTAATGTGTGAGGAGGAAAGGAGAAATTAAATGTTAGTCACTCTTACGGGGTCAAGGGGTTAACTACGAAAGGTACTTGTAATATGCAGTTGCGTTATCAGGATTGAGAAGAGGTCTAATGTGATGTGACTTCGAGCTACGGAAAACTGTTCGAGACAAATTTTTGGTACTTAACTTTGGGTATGAATTTTCAATCCCAACAGCTCTGATGCAGCTCAACGATACTGATTTTAGCGCAAATTTTAAGAACAGTAAAATGCCCTTTAGGAGACCTTTTCCGGACCCATGCAAATAGAGGTTAGTTGGCTGGTATACGTCGGAGTGGTGTTCCAAGTACCCAGTTGAAGTGTCCAAAACCAAGATTGTTTATTAAGCACTGAACGCTCACAAAAACATGACGTCGATTTACCGTATTTTTTTCGGCTATAAGCTGGGCAATTTTTATGGAAATTAAAGCTAGAGATAAGCAAAATTTGAGCTAAATAGGGGGGTTCAGCTTATAGTTAAGAGTTTTAGGAAAAAAAGCATTCAGTGCATTTAACACATCGCCAGAAATCAAGGACATTTCGAGCCCGCTAACAATTATCAGCGGTATATCGTATTACACTCCGGAACAATAGAATATCAAGAGAATTCAATATGGCGGCGATCAAGGTTCGACCTGCAAAGAAGCGTGTTTCGTACCATGACTTACGCAATTTGGGCACCGCAGATCTTCTATTTGATGAAAAGAAAAAGAAAAGGAGACCTGCAAGTAAATCTTTGGGATTTTTCGAGGCAGAGCGATGACATGATGTCAGAATTTTGATTTGCTTTTATTAAATTTTTGCGCCAAGACTTTGAAATGGTTAAACACGAACAATTAATTACAATTAACGCCTGGCATATTTTTATTCCGAAAAGGACCTGAGAACTAATTTATTTCCCAGCAAGAATATAAACAAATAGGGCCGATTATTCGAAGATCAGCGTTGCTCGTGTTTAACCATTTCAGTCATAATTTTCAACATGGCGTCTCGTCACTTACTCAACATGGAAAATAAGGGATATTCTGGCGCGTTGGGAAGTTTTTTGATGGGAGGAAATGACAATTTTACAGGATATTTTGACGCTTCGAACTCAGTAGCAGTCAATTCGATCGAGAGCAGTTGACTTCATTGATGCACTTTCCTGTAATAGGCGAGTGTTTGGGATGGAGAACGACGGATTTTGAAGAACTGTATGGCGACTTAGGTCAATGAACAATGACAAAAGAACTGGCTCGGGAAGTAAGTGGTTTTATTTATCGAGTCACTGTGAGGGTTGATGAATACCAGAATCAGTACTGAATATGTCTCGATCGAGAGCAGACGGGACCATGGGCTCCTGATTGTTATATTTTAGAAATTTTACAAATTTCCATACAGTTTCCTATATTATTTGGACGCCATTATGGACGAAATGCGCAAGCGCGGCCGCCATCTTGTCCAATATTTCTGCCAATGAACACCAAATAAGCATGGATTAATTTATAAGCCGAGTTATTTATAAGCCGAGTTAAGCCGAGAGTGCGCCTGGACAGAAGTCCGAACGCCATTTGCATCTCATCCATGTTAAAAATCTAAGACAAGGAGTAGCCCTGTTGCTGTCCTCTCCTTAGATGATCTTTAAGAACGGGCAATCAAATAAAAAATGTGCATTGAGTGTATTTTGCAAAGTGGAATGACAAGTTATACCTCTACACAATTCTGCTGTAACATGTTGAGTATATACTCAATCAAGTCACATTGTTTGTGCAAAATTCTTCCTTGTTTATCCCTTTAGGGTGGTTAGACTACCACACATTCTCTTATTTAACACGGAGGTATTCATCAACTAGCTTCATTTATAACAGAGCTAATAAATTTGT